CGTAGTGTCTAGTTTTTTTTTTTTTGTTAGCCATCCCTAACTTAGCAGTGACAGACTAGAGGGAAGGCATCTAGTCATCACCACCCACCACCAACTCTTGAGATATTCTTTTACCAACCAATAGTGGGATTGACTGTCACTTATAACGCTCTCACAGTTGAAAGGGCGAGCATGTTTGGTGGGACGGGGATTCGAACCCGCGACTCGCAGATTGCGAGTTGAGCGCCCTAACCTCGTGGCCATGCCAGGCCTTCCTGAGAAAGAATACGTTTCTTCACGAAGCTTCAAAAAACTCAAAATGTAAACGCTTACCTATGAATTTCGTAACTGTAGATGTAAGTTTTAACATTCACTGAATGTTTGTAAAGTAACATTATTAGTAGTCCCTTAGATACTGATGCCTTATTATTAACGTCTAGTTGAAATGTAGTTACATGGATCTAAGAAAGTGAAATAGTTTAGGATCATAATATATGAAAAAAGCCTTGTTTAGTGGTTAGTGTGCTGTGTTACACATTGTAAGGTCCCATGTTTGCTCCGCAATACTGCTCAATAATATGCTTTGTAGGTGGATTATAAAACTGACAACCAATCCTTTTATTCGGTTCAAAGCAAGACAGAGCCTCTGTCTCGGTAGATCCTGGTGTTTAACTGTCTTCTCGCTGGACAGTAATTAAAACGTAGGTCCAGTTTTGCCGAAATACAATAGACTATCTGTGTTGTGCTCACCACAGGTGTCGAAACCCGGTTTTTATCAGTATGAGTCTTCAGACTTACTGCTGAGTCACTGGGGGGAATGGGACATTTAGCCCATGATCGCATAAGTTACCTCCTAGAAAATATTCCAATACCGGTAATATGACGATATGATTTGGAGTTAAAAAAATAAAATTAATTAATAATAATAATAATATATTAGAGAAGCAAAATTATTTTATCGTGAAATATTTCCTGTTTATTAAACTGACTGACACAAGCCTGTTAAAAGCTGGTCAATATACTGAGGTGACGTTATTTTCTAAAAAAAAAAATAAGGTCTGCAAATTACACATAACATGGAATTTAATAAGAATTGCACTTTCTGAGGGGCATTTCACTCACTCATGTAATATATATAGTTATCAAGTAAATATGTTATATTTGAGCAATGAATTCTGTCATGTTTAAATACGTTACCATTCTTAATTCAATAAGCAACACTGCCCATTTCATCACACACACTGATTACGTTAAAATATAATTTTGTTTGTTTGCATTTATACGAGAAGCTACCAAACAGGTTATCTGCGTTTTGCCCACCATAGATAATTAAGCCGGGTTTTTAGCCTATAAGTTCTCAAGCTTCTCCGCTGAGCCACTGGGGGATAGGGTGTGGTTAAACTCGAGTTACAATTGTAAAAACATTAAGTAAGTTTGTAAGTTAAAATGGTGTGCACTGACAGTATAACACAAAACTCTGTGTGTTACAAATATGACTTCAATTTATATTGTTACTACGCAGGAAGTTGTTAAATTTATTCATAAAACTGGTATTGTGTATTTGTTCCATCCGCACACAGAACTAGTTATTATGTTTCTTTTAAATAATGAAAATGTTTCATAATGCTCAATTATCATTAAACAAAGTAATTTTTAGATAACGATTTTGATTTTACTCGACAGGGGCTTTCGTTTCGTGAAATGAAAAGAATAAGATGTTATTGCATTTCTTATGAAAATAATTTAAGTTGTAGTTGAATGGTTTTAAAGGGAAACATCTGTGCAATCTCAACATTATTTAGGTTGCTGAAGCTTAGATAGCAAATTTGACTGGAAATGTTCAGTCAGTCGAATGGTTCCGTAAAATCGAATTCTTATGATATGTGAGCAACTTCCCTAACAAAGATTTAACAGGACTGAATTTTCTTTTCTGTAAATTTCCGACAAAAAAAAACAACAACTTTTCCTTAAACATCTGTTACAAAAAGATTAGTTTTACTGAGTAAAATAAATTAACCCTATAGAAAATCAATTATTCCTTTACTACGTGTGGGAAAATTGGTTTTTCCTTTTTCATCGTTCAGTAAATGTGTATGTAGAACTGTTTGCAGCTGTTTTAAATATTTTTGCCCAGTATTGCAACTGGAAAAAAGAAAATATTATATAAATTCATTATGAATTAAACATGATAATAGAAATTGAAAATAAAAGTTTTCAGATTCAAACCTTCTGGCAAGTCTCATGTGCAAAAACAATTTTGGTAGTCCAATATTCCGTCTCAAACTAAACAAATAACGAACCTGCCCCCTCATTGGTAAGCTCAGTTGCGTGTAACTCTAAAATTCGGAATTCGGGGCTCTATTCTTACGAAAGAAAAAACGCAAATAGCCTTAAGTGAGTTGATAACTTTCTCTGAAATGTGGGGCGTATTATGACATAATTATTAAAAGTGCCCTCTAATTTAAACGTTTGTATATTTTGTTGCAAAGTTAAAGAATTTTCTAGCTGTCCAAGATTTTTATATGATATAACCTTAAACATTTTATAAATGAATTATATTTATGAAGTTTGATGAATATGTGTATACAGTTTAAGAACATTAAATGCCGCTTTTACACAGTTTAAGAATATTAAATATCGCAAGCAGTTTACTTCTTTTGTTTCATGTAAACAGCTCTATTTTTTTATCCAGTTACTGATTATAGTTACATTCAGTGATATAAATTAAAGGATAAAGTATGTGAAAGTTTGGAAAGTGATATTTTTTATCCAGTTACTGATTATAGTTACATTCAGTGATATAAATTAAAGTATGTGAAAGTTTGGAAAGTGATATTTTTTTATCCAGTTACTGATTATAGTTACATTCAGTGATATAAATTAAAGGATAAAGTATGTGAAAGTTTGGAAAGTGATATTTTTTTATCCAGTTACTGATTATAGTTACATTCAGTGATATAAATTAAAGGATAAAGTATGTGAAAGTTTGGAAAGTGAAGAAAACTTTAAAGTTTTTTTTTAATAGTTTATCATGAAATTCCCAATGAACGTATAAAGAAAACTATCAATCGGTATTTTCGACACATTTGCCAAGACCTAGAAGTGAAAACAAAGTTACTGAGTTCTAAGAATAAGAATGTTATTCTTCTCCTATAAAAATCCAGGTTATTATTATTGGCATGAAGCTGAACACATACAGGTTTTTAAAGCTGCAATCTGTAATAGAAAAACGGTATACTTCTAAATTATATCATATACTTTAACAGCAAAAAAAAAGAACGCTTAAAAATGAGTGATACAGAAAGTAATTTGTTTTAAAATAAATAAACATCTTTTTGAGGCTTTCATTACATGAAAATGTTTGATGTTTACCATAAAATATCGTATTGAGTTTTCGTTTTCTGTTCTTTATAATATTTGAATTGTAATTCAGGAAAAATCATCTCATTAATTTGAGTTTTCTTATAATTGTGTCTCTGTTATTTAAACAAGGCGTCGAATGGCATATTTATTTCAGAGTTTCGCTTTATTTTTAAATTATCTAACTGTTTCAGTACTACCATCAAAACCTTTGATAAAAGATGAGAGCGGAGATGTTCTCGAGAGCCTTATAGGACCATACAACGAGGGAGAATCCTTAAAACTTACCTGCGAAGTAACTGGTGGTAATAATTATCTCTGTATTCAATTACTTAACTACTAGTCGGAGATTCAAATTGGTCGTTTAAACGGTGAAATGATTGGTGATTTCTTCTGTGTGTATATTTTATTTCATGCTCTTCTTTTGAAGATGAGATTATGAGATGCACGTGCAAATTGTTAAGCTTACATGAAAGGTTACTTTCTCCAATGAAACAGCTGTTATTTTCATGTTTTTTTTATAGAATAATCTTCTAAAAAAGTTTTGCTATGCTAGTTGAGACAGTTTACTACAATATATATATATATGTTTTCATTAGAACTTAAATAATAATAATGCTTATTTCCAGGGATCCCAGTCCCGAGTGTAAGTTGGTGGCGAGAAACGATCTTGCTGGATGATACTGCTACAAGGAAGAGAATTGGCCCAATTGTTAACGAACTGACAATACCAATTTTGAAACGTCATCACTTGATGGCAACCTTTAGCTGCGTTACGTCAAACAACAATATTTCTGATCATTTGTCAACAGTAGTCACCGTAGACATGAATTGTGAGTGCACGCCTTTCGACTGTTAAGAATAATGTAATGTGTTATTGAAAATGATTCTTTTATGGAATATGACACTTGGGTTTACTTTAGCTACGCTAGAGTTTTTCTCAAACGATTAGAATTATCAATTGTTGAAAAACGAATAGCAAACTATCGTGTACTAATCGATAATTTCTTAACTGAACAAATTCAATGACATTAATGTTTTTTACACCAAGTAAGGATTTAGTTTATGGTTAACAGTAATATTAACAGTTAACAGTACCATTACATCAATAATGATTTAAATAAAAGTCCAGAGATACGGCTTTTGGGTGTAATATTTAAGTTTTAATTTTTGTCTAACTTTATTATATCAGGCCAAACGACTGGTTGAAACGTTGTAATATAATTAATATATATATATATATATATATAATAAACAATCCAATAAAAAGCGGTACCTTTGAAATTTTATTTAAATTGTATGGTGGATTTCCTCTCCTCACAATAAATATCAATAATGCTTATTCCTGCAAAACAATACTTAAATATTAAAATAATTCAAATTACATATAGATTTATCCTAGAATTTTGAATATATTTTAATACTTATTTGTTTTATGGAAAAGTATGATAATAAATATATTTCATAAATAAAGATCAAGTCATGTATAGCAGTGCTTTTCCAAAGTTATTTGTAAGATTGATAAAATATTTTCAGTACAGCAGAAAACATTTTGCTATTTTAATGTTTCATTCGGTTCTTAAATTCAATTTTCCTCCCATACATTGAAATCGATACGGCAGAGCAGTAGTTTCAATATTTTAAAGATCATAATTAACGATGTGTGATAAATTTTAACCTCTCCACTGTCATATGTCAAGATCTTAATTATCGATGTGTGATAAATTTTAACATCTCCTCTGTCATATATATCATAATTAACTATGTGTGATAAATTTTAACCTCTCATCTGTCATATATCAAGATCATAATTATCGATGTGTGATAAATTTTAACCTTTCATCTGTCATATATCAAGATCAAGATTAACGATCTGTGATAAATTTTAACCTCTCATCTGTCATATATCAAGATCATAATTATCGATGTGTGATACATTTTAACCTCTCCTCTGTCATATATCAATATCATAATTAACTATGTGTGATAAATTTTAACCTCTCCTCTGTCATATATCAAGATCATAATTAACGATGTGTGATAAATTTTAACCTCTCATCTGTCATATATCAAGATCATAATTAACTATGTGTGATACATTTTAACCTTTCATCTGTCATATATCAAGATCATAATTAACGATGTGTGATACATTTTAACCTCTCATCTGTCATATATCAAGATCATAATTAACTATGCGTGATACATTTTAACCTCTCATCTGTCATATATCAAGATCATGATTAACTATGTGTGATACATTTTAACCTCTCCTCTGTTATATATCTGTTTCGTGTCGTTGAGTTGCACTATGGTGTTTCTTCAAACGAGCCAAAACCTATTGTGTATTTAACTGTGTCTTGTGTAGACTCGAATAAAGACTGAGTACACACAAAAACCTAGCTAGTAGTGGGCGACGGTAGATACAATATATTTTTTCTCATTACTAGACACTCAAGAACTGAAACTTGAAATGTACACATATTAAAAGAACATATCTTACACGCATATATTCATATATATCAAGTTGTTTCGTATTAAAATGGCACATTCATTTTTGTTTCATCCAGTTAGACCACTTGTCGTGGAAATCGTTCGAAGTAGTGAGCCATTCTCGGCAGAAAGTCCAGCCCAGGTTAAATGTTGGACAGCTGGATCCCGGCCCCCTGCGGTAATAGAATGGTTTAAAGGTAATCGACAACTGAAGACAGCTTCTTCTAATATCTCCAGTCATGGCAACGTCACTATCAGTTTGCTAGCTTTCATCCCTTCTGTAACCGACGACGAAAAACCCCTCTCTTGTTCAGCAATGAATCCTTTGATTCCAGACAGTACACTCACCGACACACAAACCTTAGACGTTCGATGTAAGTATATCGTCAAATTAAAGCATTCTTTGAATATTTGACATAACCATAGATTAAATTTAATCATCGCAACATAGAATGAATCTAATCATCACAGGAATTTTTGTTATTTGCTACGAAAATCTAAAAAAAATCTACACATCACCGATGTGATTGTATCTTAGGACACTTCATAAATTTCGATATGCAATTGTTACACTTTCACGAAAGCATGTCACGCCATCCCATAGATACTCGTTATAAATATATTTTATATCTTTACAATACGCCTTATTAACTGTTCGATATGAGTGTGGTCAAATCCTAACCCTACATACGTCAGATCATCCCATAGATACTCGGTATAAATATATATTTTAAATCCTTACAATACGCATTATTAACTGTTCGATATGAGTGTGGTCAAATCCTAATCCTACATTACGTTTAGTATTTTCTGTTGTATAAGTACAGCGTGGTTGTTGGTTGGTGGTTTAACAGATAATTTTATTTTATAATTCTGTACTTTTTAAAAATGAAACACCAAGAAAATAAACAAAAAAAAATCACCGTGACTGAATGTCAAATGTAACTATTTATATGCAAGTCACTGTAGCTAAACGTTTAACGTAAAGTTATGATTAGCATATTTTTACCGTAGATTTACGTGTTAATATACAAATTAGGGTGCCACTAAAAAATCACTTTTGTTATTTTCAAAATTTCACTTCATGGTCTTATGCATTTGCCTGTGAAACTAAATCACTGTAATTTTAAAGACAACCACTCAATATTTATTGGTTGTTCAACGAAGCTGAAATTAATGATAATACCTACGACACAAAAAGATTTAGATAATGTAACTTTTGCAAATTCAATGGACAATGTTTGACTTCTTCAGGTCTGGATTTTCCTGATGATGCTTCTTCACTTAAAGAGCCCCCCCCCCCAGTGGCACAGCGGTATGTCTGCGGACTTACAACACTAGAATCCGGGTTTCGATACCCGTGGTGGGCAGAGCACAGATAGCCCATTGTGTAGCTTTAAAGAATTGTTTGTTTGTTTTGAATTTCGCGCAAAGCTACACGAGGGCTATCTGCGCTAGCCGTCCCCAATTTATCAGTGTAAGACTAGTGGGAAGGCAACTAGTCATCACCACCCACCGCCAACTCTTGGGCTACTCTTTTTTCAACGAATAGTGGGATTGACCGTCACATTGTAATGCCCCCACGGCTGAAAGGGCGAGCATGTTTGGTGTGACAGGGGATTCGAACTCTCGACCCTCAGATTGTGAGTGGAGCACCCTAACCACCTGACCATGTCAGGCCACTTGAAAAAGGAACTGCTTTTGTTCTCCTGGTTGCTGAGGGCCACATTCAACACATAAATCAATGCGATGCCACGTTCGGCTTCATAATTCACGCTTTTGACTCTGAGCCTTGATGAAATCGTCGTTGTTCTTCCACGTGCTGGGATTTTGCTAGAGAAATTCCTGAGAGATAAGCAGCGCAACAAAGAACTTTTTGGAATTAAGTGGTACGAAGTCAGGCAGCTTCTCTTTTTTTTTTTTTTGCACAAGCTTTCCGTCAAGTTGAATACGCGGGGGAGATTTGCCATGTCTTTTCTGTTCCAAAGCTGTCATCATTGCCAATTTCATGTCTGCGGGAGCTTTGAAATCAAAGACACCTAACTCGATAAGCGTTTCGATCAAGTACCACAAATGGCATGAGAATGTGTTGATTGATGTCTTGGCAACAGATTTGTTTGTTTTCTTGTATAATACTAGTTCCTTCAACAGCTCCAAATCATTACAGGGGGCTGATGCAGGACACTTACAAGTGTACCTCACTACAGTTGGATCACAAAGATCCGAGTGCTCACGAACAATAAGGATAAACTGAAAATACCTTGAGAGAATACATCAGTTTAGTGATCCACCTAGCTCCGTGGAAAGCTCCAGAAGAGAAGATGTGGACGCCCTCTGCAGGTTCTTCTCTCTGAAATAGCAAAGCTAGTTGTAGCAGATCTTTTTAGTCATCTCTCTCTTGTCTTGCGGGAATTCGTGCCTTCTTCCAAAAGTGGATGACCTCTTTCGTCTGGCCGGTTCTCTTTCGAGTGCAAATGGAAAAAAAAAAGGCCAAACATTTTCCGACACATTGGAAGTTTGCGTCCTGTTATCCAACGTCACTCTCACCAACCACATTGGAAGTTTGCATCTTGTTATCCAACGTCATTCTCACCAACCACATTGGAAGTTTGCGTCCTGTTATCCAACGTCATTCTCACTAACCACATTGGAAGTTTGCGCCCTGTTATCCAATGTCACTCTCACCAACCACATATCTGCAAGTATTTGCCATTTTTACCCGAAAAAGAAAAACACTCATCATTGATACGAACTTGCATATTTATATAAACAATTCGGTGAAAATGATTCAGTAATACTAGTAATATGGCACCTCAGCTGATATAAAAACAGGGGATCCTGAGCAACATACAAATATTAACAGATTAGGATGAGGTTTTCAGAAGTTGAGTTTTACACCAAAAGTAACAAACTTGGAGAGTGAAATCCAAGAAAACTGAAACTTGAATTTTTCATATGCATTTAAGTGGTATCCTAATGCACGTGAGTATAAATGTGGTTCAAAATGTTTTACACTAGTGGTATAAATCCCTTAAAAATTAATTTATTTCAATACTTTTTATTTGTTCTATTCGGCCTTTGTGGATGTAGCTCACGATAGGCCTAATATCAGTATTCATGTTTTGATATACTGTATTCTCAGAACATTTTTTTTTTTACCTCGAACTCTAAATTGTTGATTGATGTTTGATGTTAACTTCTTACCTTGTATAGAAGGAAACTTGAGATTGGAATTATTTTTGTACGTGAATCGTACACGTTGATTCATAAACTATAAACTATACAACCAAAGAACGAAAAGATAAACATCACTATATAAGCACTGTCTGGTACATTCAAGTTGTACAGTGTAATAAATACCACAGCAAACGTTAGTGTAAAGAAGAAGGGAAGGATTAGAACTGAGGCTCGTTAATCTGAGTGTTGGTGTTCTGGTTTACCGAAATTTTCAAGTAACACTGTATTGGTTGAATCAAACAATACTGTAGGTAATTATTGTTGCGTGACTACTGCTTATGTTTCCATTGATATTTAGATTTAGTGTTTGAATATTTAAAAAGTGCCTTCGTTTATCAGTGATGTATATATTACATACATACACATGTGCATCTTAAAAGAGTGAGTAACATGTTAGATTCTAAATGGAAATATACTAAGCTTATGATTTAATAAATCGTTCTTCCTGTTGGCTCAGCGATAAATCTAAGGGCTTATTACACTACAAATCGTGTTTCGACACCAGCTGTGGGCAAAGCACAGATAGCCTGTTGCGTTGTTTCCTGCCTAACAAGAAATAAACAAATTAATAAATTGTACACATTTTGTATGTGTTCTTTAAGTGTTTATCATATGTTGAGAAACACTCAGTTTCATTCGATCACCCATAACCTTTCATTTCTTCAATGTGTTTTGAAACTGTAATTCTTGCATAAATATTGTCACACTGTTTTTTCTTATACTTAGTTGTATTAGTATCACTTTTCTTATGGTATTTATTTCTCACGTATGAACTAGATAAACCTCAGCTGAGTATTATCATGACGAGTCGTCCAGACAGTTTTACAGCGAAGGAAGGGGAGGATGTTACTCTTAACTGTAACATCAAAGCTAAACCCTCTATCACGACCGTAAGTTGGATTCTCGAGGGCCAAGACCTCTACTCCAATTTATCAGCTGGTGTCCTTATAAGAAATCAAACTTTACTCTTGGCTAGTGTGGATCGATCTCAAAGCGGAATATACAAATGTACTGCAACAAACACAGAAGGGAGGGGAGAGAGCGTTCCATTCAATCTTCGTATTCAGTGTAAGTTCATATATGCTACACATTCATCTTGTTAGGAACTAAAGATAAAGATGCATTTTATATTGGTAATCTATACATCTGAACATAATAACCGATAGAAACACATATATAACTAATAAATTCTTCATATTCAGTGTAAGTTCATATATTCTACACATTCATCTTGTTAGGAACTAAAGATAAAGATGCATTTTATATTGGTAATCTATACATCTGAACATAATAACCGATAGAAACACATATAT